CTACGACACAGTGTACTTCCATTGTGAGCTGCTGGCCTGTCACCATAACTATCCTGATTCCAGGTTGGTCTCAAATTATTCAGTTACACTGCAAACAAGTCAGAGTGAATTACCCCAACTGGATTTTAGAGAGCTTATGATCCTTCTAGGTGTGACTGCGAAATGTCTCTGCCGATTTTGCTTTTTCTTGTTTGGTTGTTATCAAATCCGCGAGATGCTTCCACAAGAAATATCACATCTGATCTGCGTGGTGTGACTGATGAATTCGGTGAATGATAAAGTTTTATTCTTGGTATCGATATAAATATATATTTTGCATGCAAACTAAGTGGACTATTCCGCCGGATCTTATCCAAACCCATCCCTGTACCTTAAATATTTCTATCATTCCAGCGCGGAGCACTGGTCCGTCGTAGAAGGTTGCGTCAATGCTCTTTGTAAAAATTTTCCTTGACTCTTCTTTACTACTACCTTACACTCCTGGTTTGAAACAGGTAATTTAAGAGGAAAGTGGCTTGCTCATGTTAATAAACAACACGATAGCCTTGAAAGGGCAAGCACCTGTACCTTTCGTTCACGATCACGGTGCGATTACCATTTCAGGCCATCTTGATTAGTAGTGCCTTCTTAGGGATGGCTTAAAACACTTATAGAGAGGAAATAAAAACAAGGCAAGTTTAAGGTGGCTCACTGGTTCACTGGTCCGCTGATGGAAACTTTCAAAATGTGGTTATTCAAAAATGCATTGCTGATTCTTTTGCATTTTTGTCCACGTGCTAACATTCGTAATTCAAAATCCGAAGAACACTTTTGCAGGTGCAGTAAAGGCTGTATAAAGAACAAGAGAAAGAGGAGAGAAGTGACACGAGATGGAGGAAACCAAGAAGAGAGTACAAACAAAATCATTCTTACAGGTGGACCTGTAGTGTTCGAGGCGGCAAAAAAAGGCGAACCACTCGATCACAGTAGGTTTCCGAAAAAATAACTCGTTAATACAGTGTTTTTATCTGTTTGTTACGTTACGATCCTTTTAATGAATCGGGTCTAAGAAAGCTCAAGGCTGCATTAGTGTCACCGCGTCTGTCACATGATCCCACTACTATTTTTGAGGGAAGAATGGCACCTTCTGGAGTGTATATATTGATCCATAGCAAAGATGAGGATTTAGATCCAATGTCTAACACCCATGCGCTAAAACCACAACCAAGCATTCTTTTGAGACCCCGCTGTCCTCCCTCCTAAATGAGAAAAACTTTTTTTTACCCCTGTTACTGCTTCTTTGCAAAAGGATGCTTCGTTTATCTGTACCATCAGAGCCCAGCCCCACACCTGTGCTCAGCAATACATTTGCAACTCTTACCCGACTCTATAATGATAATAGCGTCTCGTAGATTTTGTCGAGTCTCAGCATACAAGGCACGATTCTTTTGGCCGGCGCGATAAAACTTGAGGGATCCGACCTACTCATCAAGCATTTCACGAATCTGATTGGCTGTTAGGAAAATGAATCGCAAAGCAAGATCCAGAACTTAATTCTTTAAGCTGACTGAAACGATCACGGTTCAGAGGTTGGGACTTGAATGATATGGTTCACCAGGGGAATGAAATGTGTTCTTGTCTGTTGTGTTATAGAGTTAAGTCAAAGTAAACATACAGCTC